GTTTTTCAGTCAGAACACATTTCACAATGTGTGATTGTGAATCGCCGACAGCTCCAGATATTTAGCATGCCAGATATTTCACGGGCCTCGGCGACGTGTCGGCGATTCCCTCAGATCGCGTCTTTGATAATTCACACTGCGTGATTGTCACTCGCGTGAACGAGCACCGATTTGCCTCTGATTTTCGGCATTTGTCTGCGATTTCGTAAAACCTGTCGGCGAGTGAAAAATCGTGCTAAAATCATGCAGTGTGAACTCGGCATAAGTGGAATCCCGGAAAATAAACTGTGGAACTTTGACCAGTGAGAGAACAGTTCGCGCGTGACTTGTATTAACAAATTTGGTCCGCTTAGAAACACCAAGAATAAAAAGCAACATTGTAATAATTTTAATCCCTGTTTCGGAACAAAGCAATCGATCTACAGGTGTGAAAGCACCCTAAGAGACTGACATAACTTATTTCTGCATGAAAAGGAATCGATGGGTCTGTTAAGGTGTGGTGGCTTCAGCGAAATTTCGGCAAATTGCGTGGTCAGAAATTTAATTTTCTCTATTTTCAATAGTGTAGCGATATGAAAACCAGCTCATAGAGTTCACTTTCAAATCAGGCAAATTTATTTTGTTTAATGAGGTGAATCCGCGTGACCAACTTGAACTCGTTGCGAAATCTGCGTGAAAAATTCCCGTATCGAAATGACTGGGTTTCCGAGCAACTGTAGGCTAAATGTGACCGCATGAGGAAAATAAACTTGCACAATTATTAGCTACATTTCAACATATTGCCTACAACCAATCAGATGCAACCGTTCAAACCGATTAGGATTCAGTATCACAATGTCAAAATACATAAATATGGCATAATGAAGAAGTGGAGGATGGATTTTATCTTCTGCAAGTGAGTGGATGTTGGATGGAATGGGAATGGGAATTTCCATTCATCTTTAATGTTTGTGCTAGTGGCTAGCCTACTGTGTTGACAAGTGATTTTGACAAGTAAAGTATCTTGCTGCAGTTATTTAATAAGTAAAAACATGAAATATTATTACAATTCGTTGCGAAATCTGCGTGAAAAATTCCCGTATCGAAATGACTGGGTTTCCGAGCAACTGTAGGCTAAATGTGACCGCATGAGGAAAATAAACTTGCACGTGTGCACAATTATTAGCTACATTTCAACATATTGCCTACAACCAATCAGATGCAACCGTTCAAACCGATTAGGATTCAGTATCACAATGTCAAAATACATAAATATGGCATAATGAAGAAGTGGAGGATGGATTTTATCTTCTGCAAGTGAGTGGATGTTGGATGGAATGGGAATGGGAATTTCCATTCATCTTTAATGTTTGTGCTAGTGGCTAGCCTACTGTGTTGACAAGTGATTTTGACAAGTAAAGTATCTTGCTGCAGTTATTTAATAAGTAAAAACATGAAATATTATTACAATTTAAAATGTATCTGTTTTTTATTTTAATATAATTTAAAATGTAATTTATTTCTCATGGGAAAGCTGAATTTTCAGCATCATTACTTCAGTGTCACATGATCCTGCAGAAATCATTCTAATATGCTAGGCCTTTAATTTTTTATTAATTATTAATAGTTTATTAATAATAGATTATTAATAGTGGCTTGCTACTCAGTATTTTTGTGGGAAATTATTTGATGAATAGAATGTACAAAAGAAAAGCATATGAAACAGCAGTCTTTTGTAATATGTCTTTACTGTCATTTTTGCTCATTTTAATGCATCCTTGCTGAAAAAGAGTAGGCCTATTTTTTCCCTCCTTTTTAAAGCTCTTACTTACCCCAAACTTTGGTGTATCAAGGCTTCCACAAAATATTAAGCATATTGATATTAAGCAATGTTTTCAACATTGATAATCATAATAAATGTTTCTTGAATAGCAAATCAGCATATTTGCATATTTATAACAACACTAAAAACCAGTGGTGGACAGTAACGGAGTAGATTTACTTCATTACTGTACTTAAGTACATTTTTCAAGTATCTGTACTTTACTGGAGTAGTTTTATTTTGAGTAACTTTTACTTTTACTTCACTACATTCCAAGATCGTACTTTTTACTTCACTACATTTCATAAAACATATCGTTACTCCTTATAATATATCACGTGCTCTGACATGCAGAAGTGGTGTCTGATTCAAGAACGAACTCATTCTTTTCAATGAACCTTTTAAATCGGTTCGCAAATCGCACCAAACGATTAATTCACGAATTGTAATGATCTGACTGCAGCTGTTCTCGAGTCGACAACTCACTGATTCAAATGAACCGTTTAGTGCGAGTCTCCAGTGAACTGAATTCACAAGTAAGAACCGGGAGATCTTGTGAGCGCGCGC